AAAAAAAAAAAAAAAAATCAATAAAAACATCTTTAAAAAAAGATTCAGCACAGTAATATCTCCTCCAGAAATTTTCCTGAACTTTATATGCGATAGTCCCTGGGCAGGTCTTCAAATGTATGACAATGTATGCCTCTGTCTCAACAAGTACACCTCAAAGGTAGGGACCATCTCCTTAATCTGTGCACCAGACATGAAAACAGGTGTTCAGTCAGACTCAATGAATGAGGAGAGACATAGCAAAGCTGTCATGACAGCAGTTGCTTCATCTTTCTGTATTTTCAAAAGGCTTAAGCCTTAATTTAAGAGAAAAGAAAGTCCTAAATATAAATAATATCTTTCAAACATTTATGATTCATTTCTGTTCCCTAACTCTTATTTCATAAGTGCAACAAATACCTTTAAAGCAGTGTTTGGCCCAAATGAAAGAAAATATAGAATAAAGAAAATATAGAAATTTCAGGCAACCTAGAGCCCAAGTAATTTTGTCACTGATTTTAGTGAATTCTGGGTGAGCTGTACTTAGCCAGTTACGGTGGTGCACCTCTACAATCGAAATGAGATTAAATCAGATGCTTCTGTCCTCTGCCCTCCCCTCTCAGAGGGAAATCTCCAGATGAAATGCAGTTAGTTAATTATGAGATTAAATATGATATGTCCCAAAACTCCCCAAAATGATAAAAAACACCAGAGCTCAAAATGTCAAATTTATAAAGAAAAAAAAGATACGTACCACCTCATATACCTGAATGCTCTCTCTGGGTAGTGCAGACCCCGGGACAGCAGGATGAGGCCCATGACTGCGTATGCGAACTGAGGCACAGTGGCCCCCGAGTAGATCAGACACAGGGAGAGGAGCTGCAGTGTCCACATCAGGAGACGTGTGCTCCTCTCATCAACAAGGGGCCCGTGTTTATAACAGACAGCAAAGCTGAGTAATCCAACGACCAAGACATAGCCTGTAAAAGCAGAAGAATGTAAACTAATATAAATCTGAACTTGAAAATTTATGCGTAAAACCTTGACTGAGAGCTAAGAAAACACCAGAAAAAAACCTTCATTTTTGTTTTCTTTTTCCAATGAAGTAAAACTGAAAAAAACACTTAAGGTTCATTATTCCTTCCATGTGAGATACTAGGCTGACTTGTAGTAATTAAGGATGAATAATCATAAATTATTATAACATGTGTCTATTTTTTAGTCCAGAGTCCTAGAAGGGCAATGTCATTATGGCTGCTTTGGTCAGGAAAAAGCCTCAGCACATGTCACAGTGGGCTACAAACCCTATTGTTTGTTTACTTTCTAGTCACAAAGAGAAAATGTATTTTTACAGTGGAGGGATCAAGCTGTCACCCTCGCAATCCAGTGTTCAATTTCAGCATTAATAATGGAGGGATGGTAAGGTATTCTGCGTCTCCTGTGGTGATCCAATGTGAAGTGCACATGGCCTCTTATGCATCCCACCAAATGCAATTCATTTGTATCTGAGAAAGCCTCAAGATCTCATTTCCAGTTTACAGGAAATACAAGGGAGAGAGAAACAAAGTTAAATTATATCACAAAGGAGTAATCAGAGAAATCCAAAAAGTGGAATATTCTATAGGACAACTAGCTTGGTCTCTTCAGCATATCACTGTGATGAAAAAAGAACTGTTATGGATTAAAAGAGACTTACAGGGCATAACAGATACAAAATGTGATTCTAGACTATATCTTACCTTACACAAACCAACCATCAAGGATGTTTAGGAAATTTAAACATGGCCTGGGTAATAGATGATTTTATGTAATTATTATTTTTTTAGATTTAATACTTACTTGACTATAGAGGAAAATGATCTTGTTTTTCGGAGATGTTTAGTGAAGTATTTAAGGGAATATACCATAATATTGATAATTTACTTTAAAAAATACTTTGGCATAAAAAGGAAAATGAACTAAAAACATAAAATCTTAACATGAAACAAAGATGTATTGCTTTTGTTTTTGGTGGATAAACTTATGTGAGAAATTTGGGGTTAGGGGTTAGAAGAAAACCAATTCTCCCGTTCTCCATCATTTCCCAATTAAAACAATTAGAACAAGTTAGTGTTTTTTGGTAACATGAAACAAGGAGGAAAAGGGGGTTTCTTAATGCCTCTCTTTCTGAAAAGTCAAGTTTTCATTTATATTTAGGATTTCTCACCTTTCATACTGAATACATCAAGAAAAAGATATAAAGAGCCACATTTTAGAGAAATTTTTTCATTACAAGTTAGATGTGGTCAGAGTTAAACCACAATTCAAAGGCATATGTAGTCAAAAGGGGCAAATAGTTTTTTGCTCTTTTGATCATTAGTATAGAAAACTAAGAAGGATGTCATAGGTAAAGACTCTAAAATGAGATCTAATGAACTAAAAATCACCAACTATGGGAACAAAATAAAATATTATTTTTAACAGTACTTCTTAGTTCAAAATAAAAATTTAGATGCTGGAAACATATGTCAAAAGAAGGCCTCCAGTTGTACTTTTCAGTTTTACCAATAATAGAATGTATTTTTAAAAAATTTTACCTACCTAATACATATATTCTGTTTTCATACCACAGCCACTTCAGATTTTCCATCAACTGGCACACCACATAAACTGAAGCAAACCAACAACCAACCATTAAAGCCCAAAAGGTGCTATACTGTGTGTGGAAGAAAATAAATGACACAGTTTTTGGTTCATTCACTCTCATAAAAATAGAAGTAAACAAATAAACCTTTTGCATTAGACACTTCTACATCAAACTGCACTGAAGTCAATTCAACACTCTATAGAGTCTGATTAAAGGTGTGGTTCATGAACCAGCAGCTTTGGCATCACCTGGGAGCTGCTGGAATGCACTCTCAGGCCCCACAGACTCCTGAGTCAGAATCTGCACTTCAGCAGGATCCTCAGGTGACTTGCATAGACAGTAAAGTTGGAGAAGCACTGTTCTAGAGAATAAATTTATCTCAAAATAATGCTGGAATTGCAAGCTTTAATCAGAGAAACTGCAACATTGGGGAACTATTAATAATGAAGAAATCCCCAGGTGTAGCAATGCTTCTATTCAAAGTTCTGATGGTTCAGCATCATGAGAGTCCTCAACTATGCCAAGATAAGAGAAATTTTCACTTAACATAAAATCAGTCCCTGTCACTCATAAGAAAAACACATTACCTAGAAAATAAAATGGTCTCAAAAACAGTATCACCAACCCTGGCCGGCATGGCTCAGCGGTTGAGCATCGACCTATGATCCAGGAGGTAGAGGTTCGATTCCCAGTCAGGGCACACGCCCAGGTTGTGGGCTCGATCTCCAGTGGGGGGCATGCAGTGTGCAGCAGGCAGCCGATCAATGACTCTCTCATCATTGATGTTTCTATTTCTCTCTCCCTCTCCCTTCCTCTCTCTGAAATCAATAAAGACATAAAAAATAAAAATAAAAAAGGAAAAAAAAAAGTATCACCGAGACTTAATATTTAAGCCTACCTACAGTAACAAATAAATATGGAATCTCTAGAAAAGATACATTTTAAAGCCAGTATATACAATGCAGAAATATAGTTTGAATTAGAAATTGTCATAATCAATGTGAATTAATTTGACCAATTTTTCATGTCTACAAAGATCCTGATTCCCATTTTTTATTCATTTGCACACAATATACCTACCTTAGGGATTAACCTTTTCACCAGCAGCAGGAGAAAGACTAATGTCATTAGAATACCTAGCATAGTCCCCGAAGAGTAATAGAAAGTAGGGCTTCTGTCAAGACAAGCAGATAAAAGCCATTTAAATGCCAAGTCACACTATTAGTATGAAAAACATGTTTAACTTGAGGACAGTAGCCATAAAGAACACTAAAAAGAAAAACTCAGATGGCAGCTTTAATTACATCCTATACTCTTAAAAAATGAAATCTCTACCTGAAATTTATGGTAAATAGCTTGCCACTAACTCAAAACAGAATGTCTGAGTTATCTTCTGTTCAGAATCTGACCCAACAATAATTACTGAGCACCTGCCATGTAGCAGGCACTTGTCTGAGAGCTTTACCTGCCTTCACAACAGCCTGCGAAACAGCTATTCATGTCTAAATGTTACACGGGAGGAAACTAAGGCTCTGAGAAGGTAAAGACCTTCCCCGAGTCAGCATCTGCTGACTAGAGGATTTAGGCGTGCGGCCCAGCTCCTGAGTCCAAGCTCTACCCTTCAGGTTACACAAACAACATGCAGTTTATGAGGACCACGGATGATATTAAACACCTGATTATGCTACAAGGAAAAGCTCAAAACTAAACAATGTTAACAGCAAGCCAAGGAGTAAAACATTAAAACATTACTGGAAAGAGATTCCTTTTTCACTAGCAAAGTTGTAAGAAACAAAATATCAGAATAATACGTTTATCAGATATTTGTTAAATTCAACTTTCTGTATCAGAGCCACAAGTCTGGGAGGCCACCTGAATGTAAGAGAGAGCAAGGCATCAGCCATCAAAAAACCTGAGTATAAATCTCAGCCCCAGCAAGAACTAGTCATGCAATGACAGGTATTCGTTTCCTCATCTACAAAATGAGAATAATACAGAGTACACATACTTGTTAAGAGGATCAAATAAATTAAAATAATGTATATTAATACATAATACAAAATAATGCATGTGAAAGCAGTCTAACATTTACATATCATAACTACATAACTATTACTGGTTTTAAAGGCTTTTCAAGCACAAGCTTCAGACCTATTGTTTGTAAAACCTAAAGCAAGACCTACCTATAAACTAGTGTGGAAATATTTAGCTCAGCGTCAAAAATGTCCTATATTCTTTTTGATTCACAAAGTTAAGAAAGTAAAAATGAATACTTACTGACTCAAGGTCTTTGCATAAAAGAAGAGGAAAACGCCTCCCACAAATACAAGGAAGAGTCTGAAATCCACAACTGGAGTAAAAAAGACATACATAAGCAAAACAAAGATTTTGTGTCAATGTCGTGTTCATGAATAAAAAGAAAAGTCAATTTACTGAAATGTCACTCCAGAAAAACTGAACCAAGAAAATCCAATATAATGAAAACAGACTTACTGTTTCGATTCACGTGTATTGTATAATTTCTGACAGGCTTCACAGAGAAGCACACAGTCTCCCCATACGGACTGATGTTTAAAGTTATTTCATGAGACTCATTTGGTGTCCAAAATTTATAAATTGCACAATGGATAACAGATAGAATGGTTTCTGGATCCTGGCAATTATGTCTTTCTGTGATATATACAATACTAAGCAGGCCCGAACTGGCAATTTTCACCTATAAAACAAGAACGAACAACTCCATAAACACAAGAAATTAAAATTCCTTAAAATCGTCTTAAAATCATACACGGGAGTAAAGAGAGCCCAAGATTGGTTGTGTGAAGAACACACAGATGTATGTGGCGGTGTTTTGATGCCCTGGATGGACCTACACACTGGAGCATAGACACTTTTGAAAGTGGATGTTTGTTCCCCTCAGTTGTGGTTGATTAAACTCCTTCTTCTAGTGAGTTATTGTGGCCAAGGGACATGTAAGCAAAGATGAAATAGAAAATAATAGATGGCAAACTATTTGGTTATAAACATATGAGAATAGGGTTTATCTCTCTACCATTTTCTACTATGACTGAGAAGAAGCATTTCCTTCTGGATCAGGCAAACAGATGTAATTCTAGCTTTTCTCACCACACCTCATGAAGGACCAGAACCCAACCTTAGGTCCTATTCAAGTCTCACAACAAAGCACTAGCTACAATGCCTAGTACATGGTGACAGCCCAGTTATCATTAAATGACAACCTTGATGATGCCTTTGTCCGTCCCTCTCTATTTCCTTTCTTTGTCCAAGATTAGGACAAGCCTGAAAAGGGGGGTGAGAGCACCAGCTTTGAATCTCAGGCATCAAGTGACATCACCCACTGTCTACCTACCCCTCATTTCTCTTGGATGTTAGCCCCTGGCTCACTGTTGCTCTCTCTCCAATACTACTCGCTCTCAAATATCTTGGGGATTCAACATACACAGTATGTACACCAAACTCCTTCCAATACACTGGCCTCTGTTCCTTGAATTCCTATCCTCATGTTCTTGTCCCCTACCTTCCTTAGCTAATCACTCCCATGGCCACACACTGGACCCTGTCAGTCCCAAAATGAAGCCCCAAACACAAGCTGCATTTCATGCACCTCACTGGCTGACCACTACCTATCTTTCCAGGATGCCCATTTACATCCCAACCCCAGAAAACCTTTGCCCCTACCATGGACCTCACCCCCTTGATGTAGTCAGCCCCTTCTTATCCAGCTAAATTCCAAATGCATCATTAGGAATCATACCCTTACATGTACCCTTGACTCTTCTGCATTCCTCTTTTTCGGTCACATCCACCTGCAAAATCCAACCCTCCACCTATTCCATTCTTGCATTTGTGCTACTGACTCTGCTGGAGAAACACACTGTGGTCTCACTGCAAACCCATAACTGTGAACCTAAAGTGGGACCGGAAAGCTGCAGGAAATTGTACCACACATTCCTGTCTAGTCACTCTTCCACTCTTCCACATGATCTCACAACATCTCCTTTGCCAATGCTCCAACACCTCCTCCTATCCCATAACCCCACCCGTCAGCATCTGCAGGCACATGTTCTGCTTCTGGCCTGTGGAGAGGAAATTTCTGCCACAGAGACTTACATGCTCCATTCTCAAGGCAAGCCCCCCAACTTGTGCACCTGATCTGATCCACCTCTGCCTACTCAAGGACATCCCTCCCAGTACTTCTTCCTGCTCTACTAGACCATTTCTATCATCATACAAACATGCTGATGTCTTTCCCATAAAAAAAGCCTTCTATTGTCTCCACTTTCCCCCACAGCCTGCACTTCCTCTCCTCCTATTTTCTTTAACCAGCTTCGATTAGGCTTTCGTTCCCATCAGGCTGTCCATGACGCAGCCACAAGTGGCCTCCATGTTGCTAAATCAAACAATCAATTCATTCTTAGTCATCTTATGTGATCCATCAACAGTATTAGGCACTGCTGATCATTTCCTTTTCTTTATTACACTTTTTCCCCCAGGGCTTCCTGGACATCTTCATTAGTTGCTCCTTCTTTCTCTCCTCTGCTGGGCCCCTCCTCCTCCCTGACCTCTTCTTAAAAATAAGACCCAGGCTCAGTCACTGGTACTCTTCTCATCTCCACATAAACTCATTCCTTAGTCTCATGGTTTTAAGTACCATCTATAAATATACATTGCTACTCACTTTTGCAAAAAGAAACACAGGAAAGATACACCAAAAAACTAGTAAGACTACCTACAAGGGTTTGGTAGGAATGTGTAGAGAAATATGAGGGGCCGTGACACTCTGAAAATACCTTTGTGTATAGTTTTTTCCAGCCATATTAACACTGTACATACTAAAAATAATAATAAAAGCAACCCTGAAATGGAAACAAATATATTTCAAATGAATACTATACCCATATTGAAGGGCGATCGGTGGAAATGAATTAACCCAAGTAACTTTTGAGCACAGTATTTACATTATATACCCTCAAACTGAAGAGAAAACACAGTGTAAAAGAATATTGAACTCCTGTTACTAGGTTTGTTTTACACAATGGTGTGGCTTAGCAAATATGAAATTACTTTCAGTGTATTCTAGGATTAGGCAAATAAATCAATATACTGAGGATAATGGGAACCAGGTTTCCCAGGGAAGGAAGTTACAAATATGGAAAGGAGGGAGATTAGAACTAACCCAGTAGCATTAGAGATATCAGAACTCATGGCTTCTGATATAGGTAGAGAGAGATATGTGAGCAGGTGAATGGGTGTGTATGTGTGTGTAAACACATATGATGATATCGCAATAGTAATAAACACAACTAACCCTGAATGCTCCTTGGAAAAATGTACGATTCCAGGGCTGGGTCTATGAAATTATAAGATAACCTGGAACATCTTGTTTGCCAGAGGTAAAGAAGTGCTCAAATAGTGGGCACAAGTTAAAAGGCCAGGAGCTAGTTTGAAGGGGCTCCTACTGGCCAAGTCTAAGACAATTTGAATATCAAAATACATATAAAAAAAATCCAAAATAATAGATTGTAGTACAGTGGATGAATTGGTAATCCATGAGATTCTATGGATCTAAGTAAACTGGAGGAGGAAAAATTCTTCTTTATAGAAGAATGCTGATGAACGTAGAAGGAACAGTGGAATTAGAAAATCACCCCCTGGCAAACATCATGGTAACTGATTCAGGCAAGCACCATCAATGGATGATAAAACTAGGCGGTGAAAGTTTAATGAGGAATAGGATCTCTATATAGTCTCAAATTATCTGCTGAATATATTCCTTCTTACAGAGGCGAAAACAGTCATTTTACAGCTGTAAAACTCTAAATTGACAGATACTACCTTAACCAAGTGATCAAAGCAGGTATAAATCATCAGTAATGGTACAAATCAGCATCATGTGCCTACCGATATATCCTAGCTATTCCAGCAGCCTAGAATACTCTTTGCCCAGATACCTTCTTGGATAACTCACTCACTCGTTTGAAATCTTACTCAAATGTCACCTACCCCGGCTACTCTTTCAAATACTGCAACTTGCCCCCCATCTCCCTCATTCCACTTATCTTACTCTACATTTTCTTATTTTATAGCACCTAACTAGTTTTATAATTTTCTTCTTTTACATTTATGGCTTACTCCACTCTACTCCCCTCCACCCCCCAAAGAGTGTAAACATTACAGGAACAGGAATCTGTTTGATTTACTGATGTATCTGAAGAGCCTAGAATAATTCCTGGCACTTGTAGGTGCTCAATAAATATTTGTTAAATGTCCAATGAGGGAAAGTACTAGGCTATCGAGAGTAACTACTATATCTTGGCCATACCTGGTATCAGAGGTAACTGCAGATTTTCTATATAGAGGGGCTTGGGATGGGAATTATTTTGGAAAGTAAGCAAGAGGTGTTGTCTTGAGCTATGTCTAAACAGCAAGTACACTGCACTCACTTAGGTAGTATATCTATTTGGAGTGGTTTGGAGAGGGGCTGGTGAAGAGAATAGAGAATGTCTCCTCCCACACACCCCTCCTCTTTGAACCACTATGTATGATCCCAAGTCAGCTTTCATACTGATACACAGCTCTAAGTCATACAAAAGCTACTTTCTACTCTTGAAATAGTACATTTTAATTCCCTGTTCCTAAGATATGATTTAAAAGTATGTTTTTACCTGCAGAGTTGACCATATGTATTTCCACTCAATTTGGGAATTCTGATAGTAGCAGTAACAGTCTGACCAAGACGTCTTAATTAAATCCATTTCCTTCAAAGCTCTGCACCTTGGAACTGAAAAATGTAAAAGAAAATATATTCCCTAAACATTTAATTGCTCAGAATCTTATCTTTTTTTTTCTTTTTTACTCACAGAGATAACAGTAGCTGTTTTTATATTCTGTGACCAAAAAATTCTTCTACATGGTAATTATAGTCTTTCAGTCTCCAACCTAGCAGGAGACAGACCAAAAATTACAGTCCAGTGTCAATACTTTTACAACATTTGGAGGACACTATAAGAGCACGAAGAATGGGCACTTCTTCATTCCTGAAGTAGAGGGAAAGAATTGAGGGTAGCTTCCCAGAAAAGAGGAAATGTGAGTGAAGCATTGAAGAATTAAGTTGGAAGCAATGAAACAGAAGTCAGGGTGGAGGTGGCAAGTACGTACAAAACAATGCAGATGAGGGAAATCACAGAGGTGGTTCAGCCATTCACAAGGATGGAGTGTAGGGAACATAGGAGAACATTTAACACCTGCAGCTAGAGAGGTAAGCAGTGGTTCCTATTACACTAAAGAGTATGGACTTCATGCCGAAAGGAGAACACTGAAGGATTTTAGGTAAGTATCAAAGTCTTAGCAGGAAACTGTTGACACTCAAAGGATTTAACTGAAGACTTCAAGGAAGCTGTGGGCAGGGTTAAGGCACTGACAATAAAGAATCAACAGCAGGAAGCCTTCAACACCCCTAGGCCTGAAATGGCTAAGAGAGAACCAGATGTTACTGGAGCCACTGTAGGGGTGGGGTGAAGGGGAGCAGTAGTCTAATAGCCTAATGGAATGTAATCACTATCAGAATTTCAGTGGAATGGCCGGGAGAGGTATGGGTACCTCAGCCTGTCTCTCCTGCCCTCCCAATGGTGCCTCTCACTGGCTAAACCCAATGGGAAGCCAGAGGGCAAAAAAGCTGAGGTGATGTGAACCATAGTCAATTTCCAGGCACTGAGCAGGCAAGGGAAGGACAAAGGGAGAAAAACAGTTCAATAAGTGACAGGAGCATAGTCATGTTTTAGAGAGAGCAATCTATAAGCAATATGAAATATCAGAGGGGAAGAAGACTGAAAGCAGAAGAACAACTAAGGGCTATCTCAGCAAGAAATGAACTAAATAGGAGGAGAAAGAACAGAGTAAAGAGCACTTAGGAAGTGGAATCAACAGACTTAGGGATTCATTAGAGGAGGGGAGAGCAAGAAGATGATGTGAAGGTTCTGATGAATGGAGATGGTGAGGCCCTTCGCCCAGATAACGAATACTGGGGGGAAACTTGTGCAGGGAATGGGGAGAGGAGTTCAATTTTGGACATAGTGAGTTTTGGTTGGTGGGACTAAGTGAACATAGATTGGTCTGCAGCACAGGAGAAACCTGACTAGAGAGAGATGTAGATACATACACGTGTGTGTATATGAACATATGTGTTCCAATAAGAGAGGGATTCCCATCTATTGTTGGAAAGGGAGTAAATTCCAGTGGGACAGGTGAAGAGCATGAAGTCTAAGGTCCACAGACCCCAGCAGCCCCAGATCATTAAAAGAATGTTAGCTTCCAGCCAATTCTTTCTTCAGAATTTCTTCTATTACCACACATGTGCTCAATGCTAGGGGCTTTTCCTGTTGGGGCCACCAGGGTCCCTCCCTGCTGTCCCCTCTCCTAGTGGGCACCACCACTTAAAGGGCTGATTCACCTCCCATAAGAAAGTGAACCACCCTCTTGCTAGTGGTCAAAGGGAATATCCTCTGTGGGGTCTGAACTTTGCAAATAAATGCTATCTTCAAATTGAGGTGTGTGTTTTTTCCCATTTGGTCCTAAGACTGTCTCCTAAATCATTTGATATTTGTAATTCTTAAGAGCAAGATGATGTAATTTAAGTATAGTGCAATAGTTTGAATTTAGGAGTAAATGCTTCTCTGTTGTCCAAGTCACAGTCCTCTTGCACTTGGAATACTGTAATGGCCTTCTAGTTGGTCTCCCTGCTTCTAGAATTGCCTCTATGATTTTCTTTCACAACCTATTCTCTAATCAGCACATAGATCTTTCAAAAACATCAATCAGAACACATGACTGACCTACTTAAAACCCTCCAATGACTTCTCATGGAACCCATAATAAAATCAACCCTCCCTTCCAAGGACCTAGGCACCTCTGACCTTTTCTCTTTCACTTTCCCTCCGCTAGGCTTCTCCAGCCACACCAACCCTCCTGTCCTCAAGATGCTTCCAATTTTCCTACTTGCTGTTTGCTCGTATATGGTACATCAGTGTATTCTGTGCATGGGCACTCCTAGTTGGGAGAACTTGCTTTGAATTTCATGTCTCCAACCAGCTTAAGGAAACTACAAATGGAGGTAGGTTGCCCCACTGACAGGAACACTACTAAAAGCACTTGCAAACAGTGTCGCCCCAGGAAATCTCCAGAGTAGCCTCTGGCTTTTGAGATGCAGTTGCTGTCAAATTTATACAATACATGAGACATTACAGACAATGTGTCAATATTTCATGGTATCCTCTGGCTGCCCTCATTGTTGTCACCTTTCTCCTAAGGTGAATGCATTTCAACCAACCTATGCAAAAATTCCTAAGTATCTAAGAAATTAGAAACTCATAGCCACAAGAAGCCACAAGCCTATCTCCAACTGCGGCATAGGCTAGTTGGATGAGACATAAAACAGTGATTTGTGACAGTTAAGATTGTTACTGTGGCTGGCCTACTGCCTTCTTAGAGAGAACCAGATCTTTTTATCTTAGATCAGCGATTTTCAGCCGGTATGCTACAAGAATTTTTAAAACATGCAATACATCACTATTTAGTTAGGGACATTGGCCTCTTTCCCCTTAGACTGTCAAGTAAAAAAAAATTTTTTTAAATGACAATAGCCACCATAACAACAGCCATCCAGTGTGAATGAATCAAAATTATACATATTTTTTTTGGTGTGCTGCAGAATTTTAGTAATTAGTTTATGTGTGCCATGAGATGAAAAATGTTGAAAATCACCACCTTAGATTGTTTTAAAAGGTTATGTCTTTCCTAGGCCTCTCCTCCCTTCAGTGATCTTCTAGAAACTGCATTGTTCAGTTTCTACTTCCTCTATCTCCACCTGAGGGTGGGAAATAGAAAATGCAGCCAGCTTCACAATTTATCTGAACTCTATCACTTGTTCAGGACACGGAAGGCTGTGAACATGCCTGCCTGTTTGCAAGTGTCATTTATTCATGCAGCCTCAGTCTCAGCTGGTTCATTTCACTAGGAAGGGACTTGGTGGTTCACAATAATATCAACAAATCCCTTTATAGTGCAGTCCAGAAAACAAAGAGGAGTTTCTACGGATTCATAAAAATGCAACAATAATCACTCATTTGGTCAGGAGAGAACAACAGCTGCCTAGGGAGAGCTAGTGCTTCCATTTGAGGCTGTAATATGTCTCCACCCTGGACGGTACCCCATAACCTAGGTATTTACTTCCTCAAACCTGATTCAGATCGGGGGAAAGATCTAGAAGCATGGGCTATCCCAGCTCTGGCTCATCTCCCAAGCACTTAGGAGTATATGGGGACCAACCCTGAGTGCCATCCTTACTCTACCCCAGCAAGGCTGTGTCTCTAAGCCATGGAATAAGTGTCACCTTCCTTAACTCCCTACAGTCCTTGGCAGGCTCTCTTATCCTTTTAATAAACCTGAATTCTAGAGAACAGTATTTTTCTGGACAGTTGTGCCCCAAATGCTAAGACAAAGCACAATTATTTACATTACCAAAGGATTCGAGTCAGGGTTACCTTAACCAATGAGATCCCTTAATTCATTTAAAATACCACTCAATTTATAAATATTGAATTAATCTAAGACTACATATTATAATATAAAAAAGGACAGCTGCATAACACTTCATTTAATAAATTTAAAATCACTCCTTTGTAGTTCTTTTACTGGTTTTCCTAAATGTATAAGGATGTATTTAAGTCAGAGTTTAGTCATACATAAGGTAAAAATATTCAGTCAAAACTTCAGAAAAGGGCAGGTGGTACTTAAACCTACTTATAGAATATGCTAAAAATAAAAGGCACAAACACTCCTCATATCTTAGTAGATCTTATTCTCCAACATAAAAATATTTCAGCAATGTTCCTCCTGAAAATTTAAGCTTACATGGTCCTCATATGAGAAAAAAGTATCTTCAGGTGAGACTATAACAATAATAAAATCACTTATACTGTCATTTTCTCCATTTGACTACAACTGCTCCTCTTTTGGTACAAGAAAAGGGAGGCAGAAGAACAGGAAAAACAAAAAGCAAAAACTCAACAAACCTTAACTCCTGAAAGTTCAAATGGAAAAAGGGTTTTTGGGGGGCATTATATTGTAAATTCACATTGTCAAAGGAGTTAGCATGTAGCACCAAAGTTACAAAGAAAACTTCTCTGTTCTACTAACCCTAGTTTTTGTTTTGTTTTTTAACATGACTTGAATATAAATCTAGATTCTTTTTATTTCTCCAAGAGCATGCATAACAGAGAATGAAACTGAAATTTGCACGCGCTGATTATATTCAAATATGATTTCAACTTCAAGTACTGATTTTTCTTCTCCCATAGATGAATTTGAATACTGTAGTTTCGAATGGCCTACTGCTACAGTTCAAGCCTGGGAACGCAATGCAGTGGCCTGAACTGCATCACAGGACAATACGCGGTTTTTATGAACCTCACCCACTGGTTGCAAACCACTAGTGACTCTTCGCTTGAAGTTTCTCTTCCTCTCAGCCAGACCTGCCCCTGACTTTACATCAGATAGGGTGACAGAAAGCTGGCCTCAGTCTAGATTTTCTCCATTCCAAGACAGGGTTTTTAGTGCGTGTTCAAGACGGAAATTTAGAACAGGAAGGATAATCTAATCCAAGCCTCTCACATTATATATAGGCCCTATTTTATGAAAGGAAGTGCCAGCTGTTTGATCTTAGGGTTCCTCATTAAAACTAATACTTTTAGAGCAGCAATGATTCTTAGACTTAGTGTAATCCAGAGGTTTCAGCACAGTGTCACTGACACATCACAGGACCCAGGATGCTTCGTGGTCCATGTTGTAAAGCCTACCTGGAATGGTGAGTGTCACTATAAGGCTCATAAATTGCCTTTTTTTTTTTAAGCTGTGGGCTAGAATTTTATCAACTCAGTGGGCACCTTCAAGTCTCAGGCAGAACAGAAACTCTAATAGGCGTTTAGGTATGCCTTTGATTAACAAAATAGAGAAGTGAACTGTTAAGACTAATCTGGTGACAAAAACTCGAAAAACACTGGATTCATTGAGGCAAATAAAAAGGTGAGGAAAATGTTGGAAA